CTTCCTTGCCCGTGCATTGTCAGACAGGGTGGGAGACAGCTAAGCAGAGCGCAAGTCACACACACACACACACACACACACACACACACACACACACACACACACACAGGGCGAATGCGAGGTTGCTACAAGTGAGTTCACTTGACTTGATTTTCTCAATTCTTGATGCGTCTGGCTCCACGGTCACTTCATGTCAAAAAAACAAAATGCCGTGTTCGCAGCCCGTCAGGGGTGCGTTTCCCCCGCCTGAGACATTTTCATCGTCCTTCGTTATACCGGTCGTTGATTCGGGCTCGTTTGGTTGTTGGAAGGTTCGAAAAATGCAGGCAGGTGCAAGCACGACACTTTGGAGTTGGTGAAAGTTTCTTTGAAAAATGCGGGACCGGTAGCTGCCCATGGGACCGCGCACTCGGTTTTGGTCGAAACGGTGGCAAAGCAGTGGCATGGTGGAAAAGTGGAAAAGTCTGAATCGGAAAGGGTGCGGCCTTGGCCGCATGTTGAAATGACACACCTGCATTGCAAGTGCAAACAAATGTGTCTGAACGTGGACGTATTCAACGCCCCACACATTTAGCGCCTGATTGAGTGAATCACATGTGACAAAACAACTTTTATTTAATAAATAAAAAAAACTTACAACAACAAATATTTAAGTACACGCATATACGACATATGGACCAAGATTCAAGGACCACCAGCCTTGACACCAATTATGAATCAAGGTATGTTCGCAGCTCGTCAGGGGTGTTTTTTCCCCCGCTTGAGACATTTCCCCCCCTAGACATTTTCGTCGTCCATCAATATACCGGTCGTTGATTCGGGCTCGTTTGGTCGTTGGAAGGTTCCAAAAAGGAAGGCAAGTGCACGCACGACACTTTGGGGGGGGTGGCGGTTTCTTTGAAAAATGTAGAACCGGTAACTGCCCGTGGGACCGCAGGCTGGGTTTTGGTCGAAACGGTGGCAAAGTAGTGGTAGGGTGGATCTTTGGGGCGTGGTGGCAGTTTCTTTTAAAAATGCATGACCGGTAGCTTCCTGTGGGATTATGCACTGAGTTTTGGTCGAAACGTTGGCAAAGCAGTGGCAGGGTGGAAAAGTGAAAAAGTTCGCAGCCCATCAGGGGTGCGTTCCCCCCCCTTGAGATGTTTCTCCCCGAGATATTTTCGTCGTCCTTCGTTACACCGGTTGTTCGCAGCCCGTCAGGGGTGCGTTTTCCCCCCCGGAGATATTTCCCCCCCGAGACATTTTCGTCATCCTAAGTTATACCCGTCGTTGATTCGGGCTCGTTTGGTCGTTGGAAGGTTCGAAAAATGCAGGCAGGTGCAGGCATGACACTTTGGGGGGAGGGTGACAACGTTTTTGAAAAATGCGGGACTAGTAGCTGCCCGAGGGACCGCGTGCTACATTTTGGTCGAAACGGTGGCAAAGTAGTAGCAGGGTGGATCTTTGGGGGGGGGTGGCAGTTTCTTTGAAAAATGCGGGACCGGTAGCTGCCCGTGGGACTGCGCGCTGGGTTTTGGTCCAAAACGGTGGCAAAGCAGCGGCAGGGTGAAAAAGTGGAAAAGTTCGCAGCCCGTCTGTTAGGGGTGCGTTCCCCCCCCCCGGAGACATTTCCCCCCAAGACATTTTTGTTGTCCTTCGTTATACCGGTTGCTGATTCGGGCTCGTTTGGTCATTGGAAGGTTCGAAAAATGCAGGCAGGTGCAAGCACGACACTTTAGGGGGTGGTAGCAGTTTCTTTGAAAAATGTGGGACCGGTAGCTGCCCGTGGGACCGCGTGCTGGACTTTGGTCGAAACGGTGGCAAAGCAGTGGCAGGGTGGATCTTTGGGCGGTGGTGGCAGTTTCTTTGAAAAATGCAGGACCGATAGCTGCCCGTGGGACCGTGCGCTGGGTTTTGGTCGAAACGGTGGCAAAGCAACGGCAGGGTGGAAAAGTGGAAAAGTCAAAATCGAAAAGGGCGCGGCCTTGGCCGCAGGTTGAAACGACGCACCTGCATTGCATTTGCAAGTGCAAACAGATGTGTCTGAACGTGGACGTATTCAACACCCCACACGTTCAGCGCCCGATTGAGTGAGTCACATGTGACAAATCAACTTTTATTTAATTATTAAAAAAAAACTGACAACAACAAACACTCAAACACACACATATATGACATATGGATTACGATTCTAGGACCACCAGCCTCGACGCGAACTATGAATCAAGGTATGTCAAATATCTAATACATTAATACCATACAAATTACCCAAATCCCTCACATTCCAACACTAACAGATGTGATAAACACAAACACCCTAAGTATCACACAAACACACACACACACTAATCTTGACACATACACACAAATACTCCTTTTTTTTCATGCAACAATCACCCTACTTCTAAACCTCACCAATAACGCCTCCTTTATCAATCAAGCATATACAAACTGCGGGCTGCGCACCCGTGCCCCCACGGTAAGTCAATTTCTTTCCATGTTCTGGCACAAGATCCATTCTCATTTATGCACGTCTGGTGAGTGGTGGGTCCAGGTTGGTTATCCTTTTATTATTGTTCAATCACTTTTGGGGGATATAATGTAGATACATCCAAAGAAATGTATGCCTCTCCTCCTAAGGGGCTCGCCACACAGCCTTTCGAAACGTGCAAAATGGATGCCGCATCTTTGCCACACATGCTTTTTGAAACGAGTCCTTTCGAAAACCTTTTGAAATTGAAAACATGGGGCAAGAAAACAGCGTTGGCTGAAGTAACTGCAGGAGGCCAGGTTTTGATTTCCAAATGGCTACTACCTGACAGTAGAATTATGGAACTCCCGAGATAGGAAGTACAGTATTTAGGGTCACAATCTTCCTATTTTGAGATTCTGGTCCGAGTACTTGGGGACATACAAATCCAGTTGAAGGTTTAAAACTGAGCCTCAGATTTAATTGCAATTATTAGAAGGTATCAGGTTAACCAGGTTAGTGGGATGCTGGACCCGGTTTCCAGCACCCCTACGTACCTATTTTACTGAGCTTCAAGTGATTACTTTTTGGGAAGTTTTTTCTAGACGAACAGGAACAGCCTGGGACACTGCACCCGATTTCCGGTGTTCTGTTTTTCAGCTGAAGCTGGGTAATGGCCCCAGCAGTTTTTTTTTCCTATTCCCCCCTGGTTGAATTGTGTGGTCCCCTCATTGGACATTGGATCCTTACTGTTTCGTCGCAATAAAAGTTACAACTACACAAAAAAAAAAAAATAAAAAAAAAAAAAAAAAAAAAAAAAAAAAAAAAAAAAAAAAGCCTTTTGAGAAGTGTCAGAGATGCGGGCATCTAATGGAGTTTCTGAAGGGCAAGATCCTCCCGCCTTTCATGAGTGTTCTTCGAAAGACCGTGAGTAGTAAAGGGCCTATCGAGACGGCCGATTAGCGGAAAAAAAAAAGGGCCTATTACCAGGGCCTGCGTCCACTACTCGGACATGCACAAGAGACAAATATCATGGTGGTGTATCTTTCCATGTTCAAGGGGGAGATGACACCATCCTTTTGCACATGGGGAGAGTAGTGGAGAGAGGCCCTAAGGTGCATATAGAAAGGCCTCGCTGTTTTGAAAGTCTGTGTGGCGAAGTGGGGTTTTCTTTCGAAAGTACTCCTATAGAATTCCGTCTGACAAATTTCGGAAAATACCTCATTTTGAAAGGCTGTGCGGCAAGCCCCCAACACAAGGCACCCTCATCCCGGAGAAGGCGCTGCCCTAAAAGAATATAGAGCATTTTATTCGAATAGACCAGTTTTCTCTTTTCAAATTAGAACTCATAAGCATTTTCATTGTAGTTGAAGTGTCCTTCTATTTTAAAAAAAACGGTACAAAAAACGTTTTTTTTGGAAAAACTCGAATACATCGCATATGCGTGATGTTCGGGGTATGAAGGTAGTGTTTTTTTTTTTTTTTTTTTTGTCGTTTTAGCGTCGCAGTGTGAGTAGTGAGTAATGACAAAAAAAAAGGCCTGAAAGGCTGTCCTGTCCAGATTCGACAGTTTTTTTTTTTTTTTTTTTTTTTTTAAATTCACTCAATTTTATTCCAGAAACAATTGAGGAGAGGCCGGGGACCTCACAATTCAACCCGGAGTTATCCCGGCAGCATCAGCCGGTTTATCTTCAGTTCTGCAACCCGTAATGAAAGCCTTGCAGAACAACCTAAAAGCCCTTTAACTATCCTTAAGCCAATAATGCTACTTAACCTACCTAGAAAGGCCAAACTACAACTATACCTCAGAGGAAAAAACGCTAAGTAACAAAAAGTCCTACACTCTCTATCACAAAGAAAGATCAAAATAATCAACCCACTCAAAACCCAAAACTACTTTCCAAAAACACGCACTCCTGGCCTATCACGGCCTTAGTTCCTTATAAATTCTTACCCAGGGCGAAGCCATCCACAAAACTGTGGTTTGGAGTCCGCCGATATAGAGGCTAAAGCGCCATTTTGTGCCCAAGTCTTACCAAACCATACCTGCCCTTTTCTCGGGTGGTCCTTTGAATGCTGCCAATCTGCTCTAATAGCGAGCCTAATCAAGCTTTTGGCCGAGCCTATCAACTCTGGACATGTCGTCCCTTCTTGTTTAAAACACGCATTATTTCTTGCTTTCCATATGACTTCCATCAGTATTCCCCTGCAGACCAGGGCTACATAGCCCCAACCCGTTGTCAAGTCAGACTCAGAGGGTCAATGAGCAAATAATATCCGTTCTTGGGACCAGCTGACCTCTGCGTTGGTGATCTTTTGCCAATGCGACTTCCACCAGTCCCACAGCTGCAACGAGAAAGGAGTCCCAACCCCAGTGACATCTGGCACATACTTCTGATACTTCCATCCCTTTCGAAGTAAGCCAACATGCTGAAGCTGTCACCAAAAGAGACAGGTAATTGAATTAGCCTTTGAAAAAGGAAAAAGAGTAGGCCGAACTCACGAATTCTGGTTGAGTCCAGCATAGTGGAACGAGACCCCGCCGTAGCACCGTGAGCGCTCAGCACTTTGTGGTTTGGCGGTTATTTGCCCGCAATCTGTTTGGGGCGTAATCGGTGTGGAATTCTGCAGTGGAAAAAAGAGCGGCGGAAACCTCGTCCGAATTTTCGCGGTGGCATCAAGGGCTGTTCCGCCACCTAAGGACAAGGTGTGAGTAAGCATCGACCGGAGCCATGGGCACGACGTATGTCCGTCTCACAGCACCAGGCTCGTTCTGCGAGCAGGGTGTGGTTTGCATATCGCCTCACGGTTCCGACATCCTCCGGGTGTTCAATCTCAGCGACCAAGGCATGGAACGACTAAGTTCTGCAATCACCTCCACGTGGAGCCGAGGGATCAAGAGCGGCGCGTGGCAGGCTGACAAGCTCTACGAGTTTAGATTCCACGGCAATCCGTGGCCAGGCGCGGGTGCTGAGGCGATTCAGTCTCGACGCCTCATGGTCGGCATTTTCCGTTGCATGCTAGGTATGGGCTATGGCTTGGCCCTGAGCCCCAACGTGAGTAAGCGCCAAGGCGCCAAGGATGCCTGGGTATTTCTTCAGCGCTTCGACAGCTGGCGGTGCTCGGATCCCCGTGACATATTTGCCATCTCATTTAACCGAGCCAACCGAATACGGATCATCGACGCCAAGGACGAGATTACTGCCCTCATTACGCACGTGGCGGGTCGGTATTGGAGGAAAGGAACTGCGAAGATAGGTAGTTATGAAGGCGTGCCAGAGATAGAGCTGGCAGGGAGTCCATGGGATGCAAACGGGAAGGACTCGACGGCAAATCGAGTGCTGGTGGCGCAGCTGGTGGCGGGGTTGGCAGGGGCCGGGTACACCGTGTACGCGTCGCTGGCCAGCGAACGAGGGAACGGCTGCCGACCCGACTCCTGGGTAGTTGTCAAGAACCCGCCCACTTTGACTGGAAACACTTAGGAGATAGTTAGGAGATAGACTAACTTCTTCATGTTTCTCCCTTTTTTCCTCTCATGCCTCTACCCTTCTTAGCTCGTCCACTTCTGCCCTACGAGACGGGACGGGACGGGACGGGATTCCCCCCTTCTTTGTCGATTTAGACTAGACTATCAAGAGATTGAGTTGGCTGATTACTCTGCTTTCTTCACTGTTGTTAGCTTCGTTGCTTGTTCTTTGCCTGTGCGCACGAGTGAGTGTATGCTAGTGTCTGAGAATTACCAATCAAAGTGTCCTCTGTCTCTGTGTGTGTGTGTGTGTGTGTGTGTGTGTGTGTGTGTGTGTGTGTGTTCGCTGTATACAACTCCACAAAAAAGCATGACCGTGCAAGACTGTTTCGTCGGACTTTCACCGACTCATCAGCAGGTTTTGTGTGTGTGTGTTGGCTGCGTGCGTGTGTGCACGTGCACGTGTGTTTCGTATTGTAGGAGGTGTGTAGGTGGGTATGCCTCCGTGTGCGCACCATCCCCTTCATCAGATACATGAGGGGACCGCCGCAGCCCCTTTTACGAAAAAAAAGAGGAGTACTAACAGTGCTAACATCCGGTCATCTTCATCTTCAAGGACGCCTGCCCTGGGTTTTGCCTACGTCGGGGTGGTCTTTCGGCATCATCTATGGTGAATCATCCGAGCACGTGCGTCCTGCGACGAGGATCAAACTGAAAAAAAGTGATGATGATGGCGATGATAACTGAAAGGTGACGAAGATGAGGACGATGGATGGCAACACCAAACGGAGGTCGGTGGGATATATAAAAAAAAGAGTGAATTCGATAGTGAATTCGGAGGCAGTGATCAGAACCTGCAGGACGGGAAAGAGACTACTTTCTACTTTCTGCTTTCTCCACTCTAATCCAAGCCACGAACTTGTTACCTGTCCTTCCTCGTCTTTCCCGCGCTGTGATTGGCACATGACAACGCGGGAAAGACGAGGATGGCACATGACAACGAATCGAAGACAGGAGCATTTGAACTCTTTTAAGTGCTACGGAAACCTGCGTGAACGTGCAGCCTGAACACTGCGGCGGTTCTGACGTACACGCTTCGTCGGCTCTGTGTTTGACTAATCATCCCTGTATAATTGTAAATACTGTAAGCAAAAACGCCTGTAGGTAGGATTCTCTCTATATCTATCTATCTGTCTATCTATCTATCCAGCGCTGCACACCAGTTCTGAAAACAGGGGTCTCTTCATACTACTGTAATTACGAATAAAAGACAAAGGAGTTTTTGAATTCCAAGAGGTACGGAAATCTGCTTGAAGTTGAAGCCTGAACATTGAGGCGGTCTGACGTACAAGCGTCCTCGGCTCCGTGTTTGACCATTCATGCATCTATAATCAAATATTAATCATAAATAAGCAAACGCGCACGTAGGTTGGATTCTCTCTCTCTCTCTCTCTCTCTCTCTCTCTCTCTCTCTCTCTCTCTCTCTCTCTCTCTCTCTCTCTCTCTCTCTCTCTCTCTCTCTCT